TCCTCCAATCACACAAGCTGAAATTTGTTCCACTTTACTGCAGTTCTGTAACCATATGGGAACCAATCCGGTCTGTGTTCTGTGCACATCTAAAATTCCTGCTGAATGACCCGCCCTGGGAGCGAGTTACCAGTGACCCAGGGCTGCGGCGGAAGGAGGGTGCTGGGGGGAGAGAGGGAAGAGAGCCCAGGGCTGGGGCGGCAGGAGGTGTGTGTGTGGGGGCAATGGTGGGGAGGAATGAGGGAGCCCAGAGCTGGGGCGGCAGGGCGTCGGGGGTGGGGGGAGAGCCCAGGGCTGGGGCAGCAGGGGCGTCCTGCGAGGAGCCCAGGGCTGGGACGGGGGGGGCAGCCAAAATTTTTTTTGCTTGGGGCGGCAAAAAACTTAGAGCCGGCCCTGTTGGTCAGCAGTATGGTTAAGGAGAGTTTCAAGTCAGCTGCAACTGCTAACAAAGAAGTCACATTGGTCTCTTGTTCAATAAAAAGGGAACAGGTAAATAAAGCCTGGACTTTACAGAAATGCAATTACAACTCAGCATCGCTTCTCTGAAGCGAATGTCTTGCTCTCCACAATCTCAGGTTTCATTTAAAAATAAAAATGCTGTCCTGGTTGTGAAGAAGCCCTCTAAAACAGGGATCGGTAACCTTTGGCACACAGCCCACCAGGGTAAGCCCCCTGGCGGGCCGCGGGCCCAAGGTTGCCGATCCCTGCTCTAAAATATGAACAGACTGTAACCGATGCAGAATTTACTCTGCAGAGCGCTTACAACAATAGCTATGCCGACTGCCCCACTCCTCTCAGTGAGGGGTTATGATTCAGACACCCAGCGACGATCATTTAAATGGCAACACTGTTAATTGTTTCATCCCTCATACACGTAAGGAGAGGGAGGGTCACAGATCTGCACCACATCCCCTAGATCAGTGATTTTCAAACTTTTTTTCTGGGGACCAAGTCGAAGAAAATTGTTGCTGCCCACAACCCAACGGAGCTGGGGATGAGGGATTTAGGGAGTGGGAGGGGGCTCTGGGCTGGGAGAGGGGGTTGGGGCACGGGAGGGGGGTCAGGGCTCTGGACTGGGGGTGCAGGCTCTGGGGTGGGGCCAGGGATGAGGGATTTGGGGTCCAGGAACTGGTTCCGGGTTTAGGGGGGCTCAGGGCTGGGGCAGGGGGTTGGGGTGCAGGAGGGGGTCAGGGCTCTGGGTTGGGGGTGCAGGCATGAGGGGTTTAGGGTGCAGGAAGGGGTTCCAGGTTTGGGGCAGGGGATTGGGGCACGGCCATGGACTTACCTCTGGCGGCCCCCAGTCAGCGGTGCAGACCGCGCTGCACCCCAGAAGCGACCAGCAGCAGGTCTGGCTTCTAGGTGGAGGCACGAAAATGGCTCTTGCCTGCAGCTCCAATTGGCTGGAGCCAGTGCCCAGGGTGGGGGCAATGCACGGAGCCCCATGGCCCCCCTGCCTAGGAGCTGGACCTGCTGCTGGCCACTTCCAGGGCACAGCGCGGTGTCAGAAAAGTTAGGCACTAGCCTGCCGGGCAGCACCAGCGATGGGACTTTTAACGTCCCGGTCAGCAGTGCTGATCAGAGCAAGGCAACCCAGCGCCTTACATGCTGCAACCCAGTACTGGGTCGCGACCAACGGATTGAAAAACATGCCCTAGATGATGGCTCATTTCTGGTGCCACAAGTGGCTGGTGTTTAGGAGATACCATCACTTATTTACCTTCCTGATTCAAAGAGGCAGCAAGCCCAAGGACCGGCCCTGGAGATATTCAAGCCCCACTGAGTGGAGCCAAGCAGCGCATATCATCATATTATGAGTATCTGTCCCTTCCTCAGTCTGACTCCTGCATTCAGAAGTATCACTATGACCATATTATAGATGTGGGAACAAACATTCGCCCCTCGCCTCAGCCCATCTAATCTCCATTCCTCTCCCAGCAGAGACCCTGGTCTGTGTGGAGAGGTCTCTGCACAGCCTGGGGCCGGGACACCAGCTTAGCCCTGACCCAGCCTGTGCACTGATCAAGAGGAAATACAGTTTCATTTTCATTCCAATAAGCATCTCATTTCATGTTATGTCTGTGTTCGACTTGGGACAATAGGATGCCTGAGATGGTCCCCACCGCCCTTGTGTTTAGCTGCCCACTGCGTGCCTGACCCTTTTTTGCCACCCTTGCAGCCACATTTCCCAACATACTGCACGTTAAAGCGTCATGAGGACAAGACGACTTACGGGGGATTGTCGCATTTCCGCTGTCTGAATCGGGCACCGGTGCCACATGTCCGGCTGCACATGCTCCATTGACTCCACATGCTCCAGTCTCCATCGACGTGCTCAGGAATGGGAGTTTTACTGACGCATTCCCCAGCTCGGCACCACTGAAACACAAGGATGGTAGCACAGCACAGGCAAAGGCCCCTGATCCCGCAGACACTTGTGCATGGAGTTAATAAGACTATTCCCAAGCATACACTCACGCATGTGTGCAAGCGTTTGGAGCTTCAGAACTAAGGAAAGCAGGACACGCTTTGGTTATGGCTGGAAAAAAGGAAGTGACGTGTGGAAAACGGAGCTTCGTCTTCAACCAGTGTAAACCAAAAGGGTTTACAGTGACTGCAGGATGGAGCCCTCTGTTGTAACTTGCATAATAACACAGACAATTACCTAAGCAATTCATAGATTCCAAGGCCAGAAGGGCCCATTGGATCACTTAGTCTGACCTCCTGTAGAACAGGCCATAGAACAGTGGTTCTCAACCTATTTGCCATTGTGGGCCACACATGCAGATCCCTGTGTGTTATGTGGGCTGCATTCACACAGTATATATACTGCCTATATGGCCCTGAGGATGTTCCATGGGCCGCAGCTGTGTGCTGACTGGGCTCCAAGCGGCCCACAGATTGAGAACCACTGCCACAGAACTTCCCCAAAATAATTCCTAGAGCAGATCTTATAGAAAAACATCCAATCTTGTTTTGGAAATTGGCAGCGATGGAGAACCCACCATGACCTTTGCTTAACGGTTAATTAACTTCACCTTATTTTCAGTCTGAATTTGTCTAGCTTCAACTTCCAGCCACTGGATCAGGTTATGCCTTTCTCTGCTAGACTGAAGAGCCCGTTATTAAACATTTGTCCTTGTAGACTGTAATAAAGTCACCCCTCAACCTTCTCTTTGTTCAGCTAATTAGACAGAGCGGCTTGAGTCTATCAGTTTAAGGCAGGTTTTCTAATCCTTTAATCATCCTTGTAGTTCTTCTCTGAACCCTCTCCAATTTATCAACATCCTTCTTGAATTGTGGACACCAGAACGGGACACTGTATTTCAGCTGCAGTCATACCCAGGCCAAAAACAGAGATGAAATAGCTTCTCTACTCCTATTTGAGATTTTTCTGTTTAGTCATCCAAAGATCTCATTGGGCCTTTTCGCTGCAGCATCACACTGGGAGCTCACAGTCCCAGCACAACCCCCACATTTTTTTTCCAGAGTTACCTTTTCCCAGGATACAGTCCCCCACTGTGTCAGTATCAGCTACAGTCTGTTCCTACATGAATACATTTCCATTTATCTGTATTAAAATGCATACTGCTTGCTTGCACCCAATTTACCAAGATATCCAGATCACGCTTTATCAGTGACCTGTCCTCTTGGTCATTTACCTCTTATTTACCAATGTGTGTGTCATCTGCACCCGCTATCAGCTGTAAACTTCATTCAGGTACTAGGACTTAATCCACACTCTCGGAAGAAAGTGGGTTCAAGAAATTGTATCCAAACACAACACCTTCATTACAATGGTTTCTTACTGCACATACATCAGTGAAACAGTCTGGGCCTAACTCAGTTACACTCCTATATAACCTTAGTGATTCCAACAGGATTGCACTGGGTTGTAATTAAGGGTTGAATTGGTCCATTTTCTTGATCTATGGGGGATGTAATACAATAAATCATTTGGAGCTAATGTATTCAACAAAAGCACATGGGCTAAAATTCTTTCCATCTCCTGCACTTAACTGTAAGTACCAAAGAATTTTTAATTAATTTATGTATCTTTCATATGCATCCAGAAAAAAAGATACTTAGTTTCCAGCTTTAGCAACAACTCCCTAAATTAATCTCCCTCATCAGGTGAAATTTCAAGTCTAAAATCTACTGACAGTTAATGCTCTAGCATGGAAGTCAGGTATTTGAGTAATGACTGACATGCAATAGAGACCTGCTAATACAGGTGTTTATTTTCTTTTCCATTAACCATTTTCTCCACCACACTGAACTGTGGAAAGTCCAAATATGCCCTAGCCATCTGGCTAAGTCTGCAGGGCCCACTAAACCCAGAAATATTCCTAGGCAGAGGTCTTAAAGAAAAAAATTGGAACTCATTACGAGCTACCGTCTGTAACTGCACCATTATATTGGCATAACTCTTGCCCTTCCTCCTCCTCCCACAAAGTGTCTGTTTAAACCTACCTGCTACATCATGTCTCACGTTTAGGGCCAGGTTGTGCTACTCTAACTCACCCTGAAAAGTAACGTTCTCCTCAAAGAGTCCCATTGAAATGAATGGAACTGAAGAGCATCTTACTACACGACGAGTTACAGTTGGCCCTTAGACTGTAAATTCTTCAGGGCAGGGACAACCTTTTCTTCTGTATTTGTACCTAGTACACTGGGGTCTTGATTTCTGTTGCGATCTCCAGAGGCTACCGCAATACACATCAAAGAAAAGAAAAATAACTTAATGCCATTTAATCCAGCTGTTAATCCAACAGCTTGTACAAATCAATCAGAACAAAATATGGGTTTTTAGTAAATCTTTCACATCCTGGAAACATCAGTCCGCAGACAACACCATAAAAAGCAAAACAGCGGCAGAGCATTTTGCTTACCTTGTCTGCGCCACATTCTGTGCCATCCAGAGGGGGGTCCAGCTTGGTTTTACAAGACGTGTCTCCTTCCACCAAGCACCACAGCCCAGCACACATCAAATGCTGCAATCACAAGGCCAAAAAGTGCGGTTATTGCTTCTGGAGATGTCAGCTATCATTATGGGATACGCTGTAAAGTTCGGTCAGTCTCTCTAATGTGAATCCAGAGGCATCTGGTTGGTTTTCAATCTATTATTTTTTAAGAAGAAATTGACGCTGAACGGGGAAGGGAACGACGAAAGAGATCAATGGATGCAGATGCATGAAAAAAGTGCATCATTTAAACACATTTCTTTTCATAGGAATATACCCAGTCGAGCTACCAGTGAGTCACTTCATTGTTTTTAATAACATACGAATAAATAGAATATGGTCTACATGGGCAATCCCTGCTGAACTTCTACCTCGCCAAATCAGCTAGCAATTTCTCAAAGGTTTCATGGTATAAGCAGGTCTTGACGGGGGCGCTGAATGAGGACAGGGCTGCAGCCTCATAGTCTAGTTTGGAGACAGCGTTCCATGCAGCATGGGAGAAAGCATGAAAGTCGTTGTGTGAGAATTGGACAAATGAGCGATGGTTGGCAGGGGCAATGCAATAATATAAAAAAAGCAGATAAGCAGGTCCTGATGGTGAGAAGAGGCATCTTGAATGTGATGTGTGGGAGAAGGAGGAACCGAGGAGATGTGAGAGAACCAGCAGAAAAGGGCTAGAGATACATTGCATCTTGACACCAGACCTGAAATGAACTCTGGCTACCATTAACACGGCTGCTCTGTCTGATCAACGGACATTACTGGGCTACTGATTTTCACCATGTTTGCGTGACCTGTCACGTCAGAAAAGTTTTCTGAATTTGGGGGGGGGGAAAAATCCAAGAAAGAAAGGTCTTTAGATCTTTCACGTTTTCTGAAACATCCACCCTGCTCTGCAACCTGTATAAGTGGATGATTTGAACAGAATGTTATGTTTGCACCAAAAAAAAAAAAATTAAAATAAATAAATAAAAGCTACATTTCTTTCCACTATTGTTCACATTTCACTGTAATGGTAAAAAGATGAGAAGCTTGGCTCTACTGCCAGCTGGTCTTGTCAAGATTTATTGCACCTCATTAAATAGTTTGAGTCAACACACTTGAACCTTATGATTCTTCCCCAATGTAATAATATGTGTGCAGACACATGTTGGTATGTATATATCAAATATGCTTGCGCAGCACAGGGCATAATAAATGGAAGAGAGAAATCCTGCCATAAAGGGAGATGGGGTTGAAAGTACTGAAAAACCGGTTATCACAGCAGTATCTACATCCTGTTTTAACGTCACATTTTCTTCTGGAATGAGGATTTTGCATTATTTAAAGCAAAAGAACATTTAAGAAAGCTATAAGCAGAGCTTGGAAGCACAGCGCTTGTTAAATAAAAGCCAATCAAAGAGTTTTCATGGCATCCAGGTCTTCTTGAGCGGACTCCTGTGAAGCAGGAGATGGATTGAAGATTTCTGCTGTTTGTACTGAACTATCAGTAATTATCACTTTTTCCAAAGTTCTTAAATTTCTTTGCAAACATCAATTAACCCTCAAGACATCTTATACAGTAGCAATACATTAGCCACATTTTATGGATGGGTACACGAAGGCATGGAAAAGTTAACTCACTGCCAGACAATACACAGCAAGTCAAGAATAGATTGTGGGAACTCCAAATCCCAGTCCCTGTGCGAGACAACCCTTCCTCCCTGTTGGGTTTGCACAGGATTAGAAATCGGTTGGATTAGCTGTCCCATTTCATTGTCAGAAAGTGATACATTGCGTACTAGCAATGAAACCTTTACACCAACGAATGTATTTTCCTTTACATCTAAGATACTGTATTGAATTAACATATTTTATTGTATTAGGGCTTTATATGGCACACTGGCAGCTAGAACACAGCTGAGTTATGAAGACTTATAGATCACACTTTATATTAAGGTTTTACTTATCAATGGTTAATAAAGAACCGATAAATAATTAATAGATGTATAAGTATGTTACAGACTTTAGTACCAGATTATTTAAGCACAACAGTAGAAGGTGTTATACATACACTTACAAGCTATGGTTTTAAGCAACCTATTGGCCCACTGGACTGTATAAACTATGCCAGTTGATTAGTCATTTATTAAAACATCTATTAATAATTTCTCAACCCTTCATAAACAGAACCTAACTATAAAGCATGACCGACTTTATGAAAAAGAATTCATTGTCCCAACAGGCTCGCTGTTCTCCCTAGATGACTGTGGGCAGGGATGTTTCCAGAGCCGTATCTGTGACTGTTGGTTCCAAATCACTGTAGGGTAAGACTGCTAGCTGAAACGAAGGGCGAGGGTGGAATTGAGGGATGCAGACAGACTGGCATCATTTTGGTATGCTGCGGCCCTTCTCCTCCAAGCTTGGGATGCTCACTGTACATCTACACGGCATACTCCTCTCGGCAGTGTGCAGAGTACGTTCACTGCTCAACCAGCCAGCACAACAGTGCAGACGGTGAGGCACTGCTTGGGCAAGTAAATTCATGCCTAAACCCTGTGGGTATGCACCCTACACGGCTCTCTACACACCCAAGCAGGGCCTTGCCTGTTCACGCTGCTATTTTTAGCTGTGTAGTATCCTGCTGCCTCTCTGCTGCTGGCACCTTTCCCCGCCACAGGGAAAGACTCTGGCGACAGAAGCAGTGGGAAAAGGCTCCAGCAGCTGCTGCCAGAGCGTTTCCCCGCTACCTCCCCACAGCAAAAGCCTTACACTGACGCTCAGAGCGACATACCGCCACGTCGATGCAGCCTGCTTTTCGCTGCGCCGTGTAGCGCCACATACCCTACATGCTGATGCAAGGGGTGTGCAGTGTAGACGTACTCATAGTCTCACAGATTTTTAAGGCCAGAAGGGATCATTACGTTCATCTAGACTGCAAAACACGGGCCAGAGAACTTCATCCAGTGATTCATGCATCAAGACCATGCCTTCTATTTGAGCTACAGTGCATCTTCTGGAAAGACATCCAGTCTTGATTTTAAAGATTTCATGGGATGGACAATCCACCACATCCCTAACTCAACTCTTCCAATGGTTAATTATGCTCACTATTAAAAAAATGTGCTTTATTTCTAGTCTTGGATTTGCCTAGTTTCATTTCCAGCCACTGGATCATACAGTCTATGTAAATTACACTGGGCTAAATCCTGCCCTTAGAACATAAGAACAGCCGTATCGGGTCAGACCAAAGGTCCATCTAGCCCAGTATCCTGTCTACTGACAGTGGCCAATGCCAGGTGCCCCAGAGGGAGTGGACCAACAGACAATGATCAAGTGATCTCTCTCCTGCCATCCATCTCCATCCTCTGACAAACAGAGGCTAGGGACACCATTCCTTACCCATCCTGGCTAATAGCCATTAATGGACATAACCACCATGAATTTATCCAGTTCTCTTTTAAACGCTGTTATAGTCCTAGCCTTCACAACCTCCTCAGGTAAGGAGTTCCACAAGTTGACTGTGCGCTGCGTGAAGAAGAACTTCCTTGTATTTGTTTAAACCTGCTACCTATTAATTTCATTTGATGACCCCTAGTTCTTGTATTATGGGAATAAGTAAATAACTTTTCCTTATCCACTTTCTCCACATCACTCATGATTTTATATACCTCTATCATATCCCCCTTAATCTCCTCTTTTCCAAGCTGAAGAGTCCTAGCCTCTTTAATCTCTCCTCATATAGGACCCGTTCCAAACCCCTAATCATTTTAGTTGCCCTTTTCTGAACCTTTTCTAGTGCCAGTATATCTTTTTTTAGATGAGGAGACCACATCTGTACGCAGTCTTCGAGATGTGGGCGTACCATTGATTTATATAAGGGCAATAATATATTCTCAGTCTTATTCTCTATCCCCTTTTTAATGATCCCTAACATCCTGTTTGCTTTTTTGACCGCCTCTGCACACTGCACGGACATCTTCAGAGAACTATCCACGATGACTCCAAGATCTTTTTCCTCACTTGTAGCTAAATTAGCCCCCATCATATTGTATGTATAGTTGGGGTTATTTTTTCCAATGTGCATTACTTTACATTTATCCACATTAAATTTCATTTGCCATTTTGTTGCCCAATCACTTAGTTTTGTGAGAACTTTTTGAAGTTCATCAGAGTCTGTTTTGGTCTTAAGTATCTTGAGCAGTTTAGTATCATCTGCAAACTTTGCCACCTCACTGTTTACCCCTTTCTCCAGATCATTTATAAATAAGTTGAATAGGATTGGTCCGAGGACTGACCCTTGGGGAACACCACTAGTTACCCCTCTCCATTCTGAGAATTTATCATTAATTCCTACCCTTTGTTCCCGGTCTTTTAACCAGTTCTCAATCCATGAAAGGACCTTCCCTTTTATCCCATGACAACTTAATTTATGTAAGAGCCTTTGCTGAGGGACCTTGTCAAAGGCTTTCTGGAAATCTATGTACACTATGTCCACTGGATCCCCCTTGTCCACATGTTTGTTGACCCCTTCAAAGAACTCTAATAGATTAGTAAGACATGATTTCCCTTTACAGAAACCATGTTTACTATTGCTCAACAGTTTATGTTTTTCTATGTGTCTGACAATTTTATTCTTAACTATTGTTTCGACTAATTTGCCCGGTACCAACGTTAGACTTACCGGTCTGTAATTGCCGGGGATCACCTCTAGAGCCCTTTTTAAATATTGGCGTTACATTAGCTAACTTCCAGTCATTAGGTACAGAAGCCGATTTAAAGGACAGGTTACAAACCTTAGTTAATAGTTCCGCAACTTCACATTTGAGTTCTTTCAGAACTCTTGGGTGAATGCCATCTGGTCCCGGTGACTTGTTAATGTTAAGTTTATCAATTAATTCCAAAACCTCCTCTGGTGACACTTCAGTCTGTGACAGTTCCTCAGATTTGTCACCTACAAAAGCCGGCTCAGGTTTGGGAATCTCCCTAACATCCTCAGCCGTGAAGACTGAAGCAAAGAATCCATTTAGTTTCTCCACAATGACTTTATC